GGTTCAGGCTGCGTTATCTCACCGAGGCTCAAGCCGACACGGGTGGGTTTGAGACGTACCTGATCCAGCAACAGCCCCGTGTCATTGACGATCATCCGCAGCGGCTGGGTGCCCGTCCTGATAAGATAAGTCCCAATCTTCTCCACGATCTCCCCAAAATGTTCTTGCAGCAGGAGGGAACACAGCTTTATTTCCGCCTGAGTCATCTTGATGGCAGATTATAACACCTGCTGGCGCTGGGGGAAGAGCCCTGGAGTTATACCAGCTGTTTTGGGGGGCCGGGAGGGCAGGGGCTGTGCTGCTGCTGCCCAGGGAGCCCCAGCTGTGCACCCTCCCAAAATGGATGCCCGGTGGGAGACTGAGTCTTGAGTGAAACCAGCCCCTGGTGCTGCAGTGGGGGTGAGATGGAGAGGGGACGGGCGCTGTGGTACACGGCTGGTCCCTCTGTCCCCTCCTGGGGTATGGCAGCCTTGTCACTGGGGTTTCTGTGCCCATGGGTCCCCCCCACCCAAGGGACAGACATATCAGAGGGGTCGGGGTCCCTTGTGTCCCCCTCCCAGGTGCAGTGCCGCCCCCTGCAGAGGGTTGGGGTCCTGTCAGAGGGGTTAGAGTCCCCATGTCCCCTCCCAGGGGATGGCAGCCATGTCTGAGGGGTCCCTGTGTCACCTTCCATGGGATGGCAGCCCTGTCAGAAGTGTCCTTGTGTCCCCTCGCAGGGAATCAGGACAGCCCTGTCAAAGGGGGCCTGGGTCCATGGGTCCCCCCCACCCGAGGGGCAGCCACGTCAGAGGGGTCGGGGTCCCTTGTGCCCCCTCCCAGGTGGGATGCTCCCCCCGAGGGATGGGGTCCTGTCAGAGGGGTCGGGGTCCCTGTGTCCCCTCCCGGGGGACAGTCAGAGGGGACCCGCCAGGCTCTCACTCACCCAGGCCCAGCCTAGGCCCATGCGGCCACCATGGCAACAAGCACTTCCGGCTCTCCAGCCGCTACTTCCGGTCGCGCTCGGCACCGCCGCGCCTCGTTGGCGATTCTGGAGGACCGGGCCAGGCGACGTTCTGCCTACTCTGTCTCGTCGGGCCGAGGTGACGCTCTACCCACAAGAGCTCGCTGCTCGGCCGGGAGCAGACGAGCGGACCGGAAGTTGGAGGC